ACTTCCTGTGTCTCTCAATGGATGAGAAACAAAATGCATTTCTAGGCACAGAAGTGTAAATGAGGCCAAACCTGACAGGATATCAGGACACTATTACCTACAGAGGTGGAGCTAATGATTCTGAAACGTCTCAAAGCACATTGAATTTGCAACCTTTCAAAGCCCTTCGACCCAGCCCCTTACTAAAAATGTCATGTGATTTAGAAACGTTGCGGTTCTGGTGCATTATAATACAGTGGGTATAGAAAAGAGTCACCGCCCCTTCAAAATAACCACATGTTGTTGCTTTGCAGCCTGAAATGAAGACAGAGACAGTTTTTGTTTTATCCAGCTGTATTCACTCAGTGCAACTTATAACACCCAAGTGAAAGATAGAACACCAACATGTCAGAATTTTGTTTTCAAAAATAGACTCACTGATCTGGAAAAAGGATCACCCCCTTGTGTCAAGATTTTGTTGAACCCCCTTTTGCTTTAATTCCAGCCTTTTTTCTGTTGGGATTTGTCTCTACTATCTTTGCACATCTAGACTTTGCAATATTTGCCCACTCTTCTTTGCAGAACTGCTCATGTTCAGTTACATTTGATGGTGACCGTTTGCGGACTGCAGTCTTCACGTCATTCCACAGATTTTCAATGGGGTTTAAGTCTGGGCTCTGACTAGGCCATGCAAGGACATTCACCTTTTTCTCCTTCAACCACTGTGTGCTTTGGGCCGTTGTCATGTTGGAAGGTAAACCTTCTTCCCATTGACAACTTTCTGGCAGAGGGCAGCACATTTTCCTCAAGAATTTGACGGTATTATTGCCCCATCCATTATTCCTTCTATCCTGACAAGTGCTCCAGTCCCTGCTGCAGAGAAACATCCTCATAACAGGATACTACCACCCCCATAACAGGATATTACCCCCCCCCAATAACAGGATACTACCACCTCCATAACAGGATATTATCACCTCCATGACAGGATATTACCACCTCCATAACAGGATATTACCACCTCCATGACAGGATATTACCACCTCCATAACAGGATATTACCACCTCCATGACAGGATATTACCACCTCCATAACAGGATATCCCCCCCCATAACAGGATACTACAACCTCCATGCTTTACTGTAGGAATTGTGTTATTTGGATGGTGAGCTGTATTGGATTTCCGCCAGACATATTGTTTGGTGTTGAGGCCAAACAATTCCATTTTAGTGTCATCTGACCATGACACCTTTTTCCATGTGGCCTCAGAATTTTCAAGGTGCGTTTTGGCAAAGCTCAGTCGTGACTGCATGTGGCCTTTCTTGAGGAGTGACAACCCTCCCATACAAGCCACATTTGTGGAGAATTTGTGATGTTGTGTCACATGCACACAATGACCAATCTTTGTCATAAAGTCCTACAACTGCTTCAGAATTGCTGTAGGCCTCTTGGTAGCCTCTCTGACCAGTTTCCTCCTGGCTCTTTCATCCAGTTTGGAGCGACGTCGCGATCCAGGGATGGTCTGTGTTGTACCAAATACCTACCACTTCTTAATAATAGACTTTACTGTGCTTCTAGGCATTGATAAAGCCTTTTTTGTATCCATCTCCTGACTTGTGCCTGTCCACAACTTGATCCCGGAGATCTTTGGACAATGCCTTGCCACCCATAGTTGATTGCGTTTGCTTCAGTTCAGGGACTGAAATGCTCAAAGCTCTTTTCATGCTGAGCTAATCTGTTATGGTAAACTCAGAGTACCTGTCAGGGTTTACCGTTCTCCTCTGATAATCCCAGCCAGGACTTCCAGGAGATACTCTACTAATGGATCTCACAGGGTCCAGGCCAGTACGGCTGATAATAGTAAAGGATTCCAGACCAGGAGATCCTCTACTAATGGATCTCACAGGGTCCAGGCCAGTACGGCTTATAATAGTAACAGATTCCAGACCAGGACTTCCAGTGTACTCAGAAGCGGGGCGTGTCGTCTCTGATTCAGAGGGGTATTTAAGCACTAGCTCTGTCAGAGAATTTCAGCAAGCAGTCATAGAACTGGCACTATGAGAGCCATTGCGCATGTGAAACGGTTTCGTGCTGGTAATGCTCGTAATTGTGAGCATGCGCATATTTGCGTGCAGATGCTAATGCGCACGTTCACGGGCAACGGCGCTGATATTTAATCATGGCGCCAAAAGGCCTATTTAAACTTGCATGCACTCAATGCTGAGAGTGTCTGACGTTGATTCCTGATTGCTCTGTATCTGACCCGGCTTGATCCTCTGACTCTGCTGCTCCTGACCTCGGCCTGCTCCACCACTCTGCCTGTTGTCTGCTGATTCGGCATCACTTATCCTGCACGGCTTGACCTCGGCTCATCCTGACCCAGGTTCTGTCTTCTGATATGGTACTGCACAGCTCTCCAGTTACTGACCCGGCCCGGCTTGTCTGGATTCCTGGTATCCTGCCTGGTGCTTCATTCCGGTGTCTTCAGCATCTGTAGCCAGGGGCACCCGTGCCTCACGAAGTGCGTTCGGCCCTGTTCCACTCTCAGGGGTGCTCAGACCGGTGCTGCAAGGGAAGGTCCTTCTTGTCATCTCAGAGTCTGACCCTTCTTCGCTTCGCCCTGATCTTCTGCCTTGACCCAACTTTGCTCTTGTCTCATGCATTTATCCTCCGATTGCTGGTTGCCGACCTTGGACTGCCCGACCACCCTCTGCTAGCCGCCTGCCTTGAACTCTGCCTGGATCTGACTACTGTCTCCTCATTGGAGCCCTCCTGTTCTCGTCCATCCTTTGGCAGGGCAACCCTGGGGACCCCGACCTTGTACCAGCAAGCAGCCAAGCCCATCTCCACCATCAGGAGCTCTGGTGAACACCAGCTGGTACCTAGACTCCGCCCCTCAGGTAAGCCCGTGTCACCATAACATAATCAAAATGACCACTGCTGATCACAGTTGAAAGTCAAATGGCTTTGTGTGCCATTGAGAAGGTGATTAGCTACACCTGATTGAGTTTACAAGTCATTGTTAGGAGGGGGTGATCCTTTTTCCAAGTCAGTGATTCTGTTTTTGAATTTTTGTATTTTTTTCCTGACAATTTGGTGTTATATCTTTCACTTGGATGTTATAAGTTGAATTGAGTAAATACAGCTGGATAAAACAAAAACTGTGTCTGTCTTTATTTCAGGCTGCAAAGAAACAACATGTGATTATTTTAAAGGGGGCAATTCTTTTCTATACCCACTGTATATCCCAAACTTACAAAAACGGGCATAAAAAACATGAGTACAAAGCATTTCTAGGCACAGAAGTATAAATGAGGCCAAACGTGACAGGACTTCAGGACACCGTTATCTATAGAGATGGAGCTAAGGGCTGCACTAGGGGTAGACGCGGGGTACGACACACTGGCTAGGGGGAGACATGGGCACCTGGAGGGGGCAGTCACTCAGTGGAGGAGATTCCAGGAAAGGGGCACTACACACTCTTGGTGGAGGATATCTCGGGAAGGAGGAAACACACACACAGACCTGGTGGAGGAAATCCCAGAAAGGGGACACCACACACCCTCTTTCTGGGATGGGGTATATCCCAGAAAGAGGGTGTCACACATGCTTAGTGGAGGATATTGTGGGAGGAGGGTACCACACATACACCAGGTGGAGGATATCACAGAAAGGGGAAACTACACACTTGGTGGAGGATGTCCCAGGAAGGGGGCACCACATGCTTGGTGGAGGATGTCCCAGGAATGGGGACACAATGCAGAAGAGTCCTACCGCACTCCTTACTGGTATGTCCCTTGTGGTGGGTGCTGTAGTGACTGCCGGTGGCGCCGCTTTAGAACCAAATAGTAAAGTATGTCACCAGCACACCACGGTTCAATCTTCAAGCAGTGATCAAGTTATTGAGACATACATCTTGTCACATTGCAATTTTTTGGGCCACTGATGAAGTCATGCCTGATGAAGGGACCCTGAGTGGCCCCGAAACATTGCAATGTGACAAGATGTGTATATCAATAAAATGATCACTGCCTGAAGATTGAACCGTGGTGTGCTGGTGACATATTTTTCTATTAAGAATGGGGACACAATAAACACACTTGGAGGATATCTCATAAACAAGGGCACCAGACACATTCCGTGGAGGATATCCCATAAACAAGGGCACACACTCCATGGAGGATATTCTAGGAATAGGGGCACCACACACACTTGGAGGAGGATATCCCAGAAACGGGGGCACTGCATACTCAGTGGAGGTTATCTCAGAAATGGGGGCACCACACACACTTGGAGAATATCCCAGAAACGAGGGCACTGCATACACTCAGTGGAGGTTATCTTAGGAATGGGGGCACCACACACAGTTGGTCTAGGATATCGTTAGAATGGGGCAACACCTGCTTAGTGGAGAATATCACAGGAAGGAGGCACCACACACACTAAGTGGAGGAAATCCTAGGAATGGGGGCACCACACACACCTGGTAGAGGATATAATGGGAATGGGTCACAACACACTCAGGGAGGATATCACAGGAAGGAGGCACCACACACACTAAGTGGAGGATATCCTAGGAATGGGGGCACCACACACACTTGGTAGAGGATATCATGGGATTGGGGCACTACACACTCAGGGAGGATATCACAGGAAGGAGGCACCACACACACTAAGTGGGGGATATCCTAAGAATGGGGGCACCTCACACACTTGGTAGAGGATATCATGGGAATGGGGCACCACACACTCAGGGAGGATATTGCAGTAAGGAGGACCCACACACACACTTAGCGGAGGAAATCCTAGGAATGGGGGCACCACACACACTTGGTAGAGGATATAATGGGAATGGGGCACTACACACTCAGGGAGAATATCACAGGAAGGAGGAACCACACACACTCAGTGGAGGAGATCCTGGGAAGGGTGCACCACACACACACACACACATTCCACCAGGCGACATTGGAGATATGACAAAACCAGCGGAACAAAGGAGCAGACAAGAAGCGAGGCGTGCCGAGTAGGAAAACCAGGACTTTTTCTGTTTAATACTAGATTCTCAGGAGCTGAGACTGCAGAGTACATCCATTGCTAGAATCGGGAATACAGAGATTTACAGAGATTAACATCAAAACAATCCACTAAGGTTATGTCTCTCCTCCTTTGTAAAAATGAAAGAAATTAGCAGCAAATTACAGAACCCGATCGGGCCGGGCACGCCACTCTGTAGTGCTTCTAAACTTTAGAAACCATTGTTTGAGAAACCTTCTGCTTCCATTATTATTATTATTATAAAACAACAAAAAATTACATTTCTACACCGGTAAGAAAAACAAAAATATCAGAAACACAGGCACACACACAGATTAATATATATATATTTATATCGCTGCTCGCTTGGAATCCTGTGATTGTCAGTTGGAGCCTTGTCGTCTTCTCGTATAATGACTTGATTATAATAAATTTATTTCCCTTTATTTCTTTTTTCGATGTGGAAGTGGGTGAGCCGAATAAAAGTATTACATACTCCACACCGGCTTTAGCGGTAAGAAAATATTCAAAACACTTCTCTTGCTTTTTTTTTTTTCTTTTTTTCTAAAATAAAATAATATTCTTAATTTTCTACTGAAAGGAATTTCATTTTCTGCGTTTTAGATAATCTCTTATTATTATTAATTTTTTTTTTTATAAGGACATTAAAACGGACAAAACAAAATCCTTAGGCTTTGCTTGAGTTTTGTAACCTCCGTGGCCAGGACGTCCTTGTTCCTGGGCGCTGGGAGGTTATGGGGGCCCTGCAGGCCCATCTAGAGGGGAGGGGATAGCGTAACGTTTGGACTCTCTCTCTCGCTCTTTGTATTAGGTGAATTGTTCAGGTAAAGTGCCTCTTTGTGGTTGTCCGTTATTGGGGAAATAAATATAGGCTGATCTGATGGGATGGTTGGCCTTCTGTTGAGCTGCCATAGAAGTCCCGTAGCCGGTTTTGTCTGAAATTTCTGCCATGGTGGCCTTCTTCTTCTATTACCTATTCTACCCCTAGAGGGAACAAGTTCCTCTAAGGAAATCTCAGATCGAGTCCAGCTTCCACCCTTCGCTTCTCCATGGTGTGTATATCTCAATATTGATTGGACACTGAGGTTCCAGTTTTCTGCACAGATATGCCTCCATCCAATCAGGAGGGATCCCCCTTCCTTTCTGTGCTCCAGGATGGCCACCTGGTGGCATCGCTGTAACAGAGGAGCCATTTTTTTCGGAGAGGAAAGTGCTGTTTCTGGGCAAAGTGCATAAGAGACTGGACAGGGGGGGCAGCACAGAACACGGAACATCATGTAAGGACAGCGGAAACGTCCAGCAATCAGACAGAAATCAGTGACCACACAGCACAGAAAGCCGCCATGAAAGGGCCTGCAGGGCTCCGCCGAGAACGCTTGCAATACGCACACAGTGCACAAAGGGCTCTGGAAACGTCTCTGCTCCATCTGGGTGATGGGGAGATGGGTAAGTGCCACGGCAGATGAGGAAGCCCCCCTTCCCGCTGGTGGGAAGGGGAATGCTGGGAGGGTCCATAGTGATGTCAGTGCCCTGTGGTTTCCTCTACATTCCAGATATGACAAGCCTACAGTCACTTTCTGAAGATGCATTCAGGCAGATTAAGTGTGCGTCTCCTCAGCTTCCTGCAGGGACCCTCTTCCAGCAGATACGTCACATCGATGGCTGCAGAGAGAGAGCCGGTGTGTTAGAAATAACCAAAGTGGTTAAGTGGGGCACAATTGCCCCCCCTTACCCATCCCAAGCCTACAGGCGCCACCCATCTGATCAGAAATAACCAAAAAGATCAATCAAACCCAAAAATATCTTGAGGAACACTGAAACCTGGCCACACCTTCTGAGAATTGGACCAGTCAGTTTCATCAACAAGCGTGTTATTTGGTGACGTCCTTGTCAGGGAATTCCTATCCATAACAGCTAGGGATGCACCGATACCGTTTTTTCGGCATAGAGTATGAGCACCGATAATTTGCTTTCAGTACTCGCTGATAGCGATGCTTCCGCTGGCATGAAGCCGGCTTCCTGGGCAATCAGGAATCTGGGCGGCGGGTAATGACATGCTGCCCGGCTTCCTGATTGCTCAGGAAGCTGGCTCCATGTTATTTGGCTGGCTTGATTGTCATTAGCCGGGAAACCGGCTTCCCAGCCAATCAGCATCGAGCTGGCTTCCCGGCCAATCAGGAAGCCAGGCGGCGACTAATGACCCACCGCCTGGCTTCCTGATTGGCCAAGAAGTTGGCTCCACGCTGTTTGGCTTGAAAGCCGGCTTCCCAGCCAATCAGCAAGGAGTTGACTGTTCGGCCGGCTCCATACTGATTTGCCGGAAAGCTGGCTTCCCGGACAATCAGGAAGCGGGTCATTACTTGCCGCCCAGCTTCCTGATTGCACGGGAAGCTGGCTCCATGTTCCCCTACGGCACTGCCGGTTCAGAAGAAATTTTCCTCTGACCGGAAGTTCCGGTATTGGGGAAGGTATCGGAGCATTCGGGCGAGTACGGGTACTTGCCCAAATACTCGGTATCGGTGCATCCCTAATAACAACCCACATTCCCACTCCTTCAACTCTGTACTCAAATTCCTCTCATGCAGTTAATCAAAATAATATAATTTTCCTACTAACCATATAATCTATTTTTTGGAGTCCATTAAGGGAAACAGAAATTCAGTCAGGTTATACTGACGCCTACAGGAGGTTGTAAGCCAGCCCCCCGTAAAACCCTTCCTCTCCCCAGCATGCCCTAGATTTGTGGAAAAGCAGTACCAGGGCATGTTTCATATTTTTTTTTTAGCATGGCCCCAGGGCGCTTCCGTAAGTAAACACCTCCAGATGCCTAGGGTAGTTTGGGCTGAGGTAACCAGTGGCAGTGGGATGGTGCTTTCTCCAGGTTGAATGGCAGGAAAGAGAGCACAGCGCATGTATACATATTGCCCCCGACAAGTGGATGATGCCAGCGCTCAATCCCTCAGCCTTGAATAATCCTTACTGCAGGAATTTTTCAAAGGCGCCCAACAATGAGGTAGCTCCTGGTTCTTTAGGCCCAAACAGCGGTACTTACTAAGTTAGTCTTCAGAGATAGGTCCCATTCCAGGCTAGCTTACAGTAAAACTATTTTCAGTAGAGCTGAAGAAAAGGCAAAACACTGAAACATGCTGGGTGAATGAGTGGTTATAGGGGGGCTGGCTTACAAGTTTTCTGCTTGCCATTGTCCCAACCTCCTGAAGGCAGCAATATAACCCGAGAGTTTCTGAATTCCTGTGTCCCTCAATGGACGAGAAATAAAGGAGATACACAATTTATTACATACCAGACACCTATTTGTTATTGTTCCCTACAGCACTGACCCCATCTAATAGCTTGAGATATTCTACAGCTTTGTAAGTCACCAGCACTACGGATTTGTTGCTTGTGCACGAGAGATAACATCGTGATTACTGAGAAGTTTCTGCTGCTAAACACTGTAGAATAATCATAGAAGTAACTACTCCCCTAGGGCTGTGAATGACAACATAAAAACCTGAATCTTGCCTGGCAGGGTACCTGCATTGTGTATTAATAGGAAGGGCCGGGGATGGGATTGGATAAGAGGGTCCCCTAAAAACTCGTTATACCCCAGTGACATGTTGCTATAAAGTGTGACAGATGTCAGTGCTGCTTTGTAATATGTGTGTGATGTGTTTGTGACAGCACGCAGAGATGTCAGGCATTAGGTGAGTTATCCTCTGACTGGTTGCTGGGCTAGCGCTCACCATTCTTGCTGGGTAGTTTGTCCAGCAGGCTGAGGAGGATCTGGTTCAGTTTGTCCCTTTTCACTTGCTGTCTCTCCGGGGAGCAGAGACGTTGCGGGGGGCTGTTATTCTCTACCGTGGTGCTCTCTCCACCCTCTGTGGAGCCCATCTCTGACTCCTCCTGTACCGCTGGCTCATGGTTCACCATTAAATCCTCCATGAGGGGCATTGGGTCCTCCTGAGGGAGGTCTGCGCTGGGGGGTTTGGGGCGTTCGGACTTCCATGATGACCTAGTGATAAATGGGCACACAATGTGCGCTCTAGTAACGGGTATATTAGCAGGATGATAATTTTAATAAAAGATCAGTGAAGAGAGCACACTCACCTGCCTCCGTTCCGTTTGTAATTATCTGGCACATAGTGAGGCTGCAAAAATAAGATGGAGGATTGTTTACAATGGAGGAGTGATGTCATGTGATCCCACCCCATTCCCAGGTTCCCCGTCTGCTGTCTGGAGATATATACTGATGCATTGGTCTGTCCAACACCAGCCAAAACCTGTCTCTGTGGCACCTGTACAAGAAGTGGGTGTACACTGTATGAAGTTCTAACCTTCCTCTGTGTCCCTGTTGGAGATGTCCCATTATTTCTGTCCTGAAAGTGAGGGTAACTCTCCCCAATGGGATTCAAAGACAGATATTAAGCCCCTTCCCTGCTCCATCAAAAAACAAAATAAATATTTTGTCTGGGGTTAGATCCCCCCTGTGTGTCCCGGGAAAGGAGCCACTTACAGAGAAATCTCTTTTTGGCGTCAGCTTCTTGGAGAAGTGGTCAAAGGCGTAGCTCTTAGTGCAGACCGGGTAGCGATTCCGGTGGATTTTGTAGAATAAGTGCGCCGATTTATCCAGCCTGTAGTCGCAGATAAAAACGTCTTGTTCCTTCGCTCCCTTTGGCCGGCCTGCGGAGAAGACATTGAGGGCATTACAGAGACCGTACTATGTATTACGCACCCTGTAGGACTTCGCAGTAGCGCGGCACTCACCTTTGCAGTATGTATACAGGTCCAACACGCAGCAGGTCCCCACCACTGCCTCCAGTGGGATGATTTCATACAGCGGCATGCGGAAAAGCTCGTTGTGGTAAAACCTGCGTGATGGCGCGTGGTGTGTCTCGTGGGGTCGGAAGTAATGGTGGCCGAAGGCGAATCGCTCACCCCTGTGAAAGAAGATGATTTGTGATGCAGATATGAATAAATAATGGGATTTTTGTACTTACCGTAAAATCCATTTCCTGAATTACATTGTGGGACACAAGAATTCAGAGATCGTTGGGTTATACTGCCGCCTACAGAAGGATTTGGTCCCTGGCAAACAAAAAACAGAGAACGAACCGAGTATAGCACCTCCTACTACCAGCATGCCACAGTTTTGTGGAAAAGCTCCACCTTGTTCTTGTGTAAGACCAGAGAAAGCTCTTTACAGCATCAGGCACTCTGATCAGCTCAGAGTACCACATCTGCGCGGGCCAGTCCTGAGCTATGAGGATCACCAGAATGTCTTTCAAATTAATCCTGCAAAGTAGACAAGGAAAGAGTTTTACCAGAGGAAAGGCGCAGATTAGTGTGTACTGATCCCACAGAGCCATCAGAGAACCAGGTTCTTGAACAAATGTGTGAGAAGGGACCATTGCACTGGGTCCAGGCACTGCCATGGTATTGCCTGATTGACTCTGAAATGGAATGACCCTCCATTCAGGATACAATTGAATATTTATAGGAGACCCAAGAGCTGGATTTATATGTATATATAGATGTTCAGCCCCCTATCCCTCGTTTTGTATACATAGTCCATTCAGAATACCCAGCACTGAAGGGACAATCAAATCACCCAAGGCTGCAGAATGTTAATTGGGAGATGAGATTCCTCCACGTTACAAGGCCCCTGCACCTACAAGGTGGCCAGGTCTTCTCCTCAGCTCAACAAGCTTACCATCTGTCATGAGGTTCTTTCAAGTGGTCAGAAGGAAGGACTTTCTAGAGCAGGATTACTAAGCCACCAAACCAAGGAGCAGCCACCAAACCTGGTCTTCGGTGCCAGATGAAATGGTCTGTCCAAGGGGTGGAGTGACTTGTCCCATGATGACAGGATGTTGTAGTGTAGGGGTCTGGAATGGAATTAGGCAAATGGGACTGCCTCGAAGGAGGTTACTAGCCTCTCTAGAACTCTCATGCAGAAGCATAATGTCAGGCAACTCCTGTACTAAAGAGTCCGAGCCTGGGAGCGAAACGTTTCACCTGGGGAAGAAAATGTTTGGCTTTCTGACAGGAGGATGCAAGAAGCCAGTTGCTGAAGATGTGCTTAGACAGACTGCACCCAATGTTTTCAGTATTCTTGTTAAATGGAGACCTCCACCTTGACCTGTGTGGGAGATGAGCACCACTTCTACCTACCTATATGATTCGAGGCCCCATTTCCATATACAATTGTGAGCGCATCATTTATTGACATTTTTTTTTCTTTTTCCTATCCAGGTAACTTGCAAGGTCTTTGCGCCCCAGCTAAGGTATCCCTACGTGCTCTTTTGAACTGTGGGACCCGTCACTTTGGACTTTCCATCCAGTTGCCCACTGCCAGACTAAGATGACCATCTGTTGGTGAGCATATGAACTTGTGTACTTGGTTCCTTCCACAATGGGGATGCCCTTGAAGCTCAGCAAGGCTAGCACAGGAGCCAGCACCTTAGTGAAAACCCAAGGTGCAGAAAAAAGCCCCAATAGCAGGGCCACAAAGTGGAAGTGCAAGGGGCCCCCAGCAAAGGGAAGGAAACGCTAATGCTCTGGAAAAATTGGGACATGCCGGTAGGTGTCTTTGATGTCCACAGAGGCCAGAAAGTCTCCCTGATGGAAGGAGGCTATGACAGAACTAGTGGATTGCAGAGTTTCTGGGCCCAAATAAAGACATTTAAGACCTTGAGATCCAGGACAGAACAAATGTCGTAACAAACAAATCAAAGCTACTCAACCTCCTATCCCAATAATCAGGCTGGAATCGCGGATCCTTTTCGTGTGCTGGTTTTTCTACATTGAATAGGACAAATGTCCCCACTGGGTTTCAGAACCATAAACAGGTTGGAGTAGAACACTAGAAACCCTTCTGCCACAGAAACAGGGGCGATGACACCCTACTCCAGCAGACCTGGCAAGGCTGCATGAAGAGCTGCTAACCTGTGCGGTAACACAGGGAGGTTGGAAAAAATGTACTGCAGAGGGGGTGAACTTCTAGCTTGTAGCCCCTGGAAACCACGGACGCAGCAATTCAAGACTCCAAGGATAGCATAGGCCCTAGCAGAGGGCAATAGTCAGACCATTGGTGTCAGGCAACTGCAGCGGGTACACTACAGACAGCACCCTAAACCATTAGTGGAGCCGCCTGGCAAAGCAGAGCCATCCACTATGTGTCTAAGCTTAAACATGTTGCATCTCAACGCTAAACACAATCTTAGCTAAGGGTTCAAGGCAAACTGGGATCAGATGACTGAAAGTAACCAAGTCACTGTATGTGGGTAAGAGAGGCGAACCGAAGAGCATTCCATGTGTCATCTGCAATCAAGAGCAGCGGGAAGGTGCTTCCTCAATGTTGAAATGCAGGAAAGATCGTACAGAACACATATGCGTGACAGTCCAACCAGTGGGTGACATTAGCACTTAAAGGAGAACTATGGGGTTAAGGCTTTTCCCCAAAGTTCTCCTTAGGGTAACGGGAGGACACAAACTAGCGTCCCCCTGGAAAGTGCCGCGGTATACTGAGACGCCGCATCTGAAGCGGATCCCGACAATTATGTCTGGATCCGCCCAGCTGCGTGAGTGACAGCTGTACCCTCCCCCCTGGAAAGTGCCACAGTGCAAAGTGCTTAAAGGTCACATTTCGAGGTAGCCCCGCAATTGCCAAGTCAAGCGGGTCCGGGTACGGGACTCCAAAGTCAAGCTGAGGAAAGGCCGATTCAAACAGTTGCATATAGAGGCCATTTCAGCAGCGATTTACCAGGAATCTTGATTGGAGAATAAACATTGGTTAGGCTTCCCTGGCAGTGCAGAGAAAAGGCTTTCATCGTCCTAGGACACTGGCAAAAAACTGTGGCATGCTGGGAGTAGGAGGTGCAATACCGGGCTGGCCTACTATTATTTGTTTGCCAACATACAAATCCTCCTGTAGGCAGCAGCATAACCTGACAGTCTCTAAATCCCTGTGTCCCTCAATGAACAAGAAAGAAAATGTAATATGTAAGACCCCGGCCATACCCCACAGACAGATCACTTCAACAGCAGACTTACAGAGGGAGGAATAATGAAATATAGAAGATTCTGGCTACATCCCATCGACAGATAACATTGGAGGCGAACTTACTTCTCGTTTTTCCACAGCTTTTCTATGCGGAAGATATCAAGTTTGTCGCGATTAATGTGAGACAAGAGCCGATAAGATTGCCGCACCGGCTGTCCGTCTGGTGTCCGCCGGCTGTCTCTCATGAGATACACACAGTCCCCTGGAGAGACAAACATAATGGAGTAGATCTGTAACAGCCACGCGACTCCACTGTGTACACAACATGAATGGAAATCAATAGAATCTGAAGAATTAACACCCCTTCCTCCTCCCTGCACCGCTCGGTCCCAGCTCCACGGTTTGAACTTTGGATAAGCAGAGGCCACTTTCAGTGAAAACAATTAGATCCAGAGATATGGGCAGCTGTAGGTACATCTCAACTTTTCCTGTACAAGTCAAGCTTTCTGAGCCTCCCTATGGCTTCATGAGGTCATCAATAACACTGATGGTGCCAGCTAGTGGGAACTGGCACCGAACCATAAGCGGAAAGCAAATGAGGAGTCGGCAGTCCGCAGAGAGATGTGTTCCAGAAAGGTTCATGGCATTGCCTCTCTACACCTGGCTCAGATATGGCAGGGTGGAGATGGAGCCATCTTCTTTTCTATCATTTACAGCAGGCTGGAATGCAAGATTGTATTGCCCCACTGTGCACATTTTCCCCCAGGGCACAAACCCGGTGCTGGCCTCACTGCAGGTAACCAAAAGCAGTTAGCAGGGAAGATGGACCTATCATGATTGACCAGTGGTACCCGGACTTCACCGTGGTGGACCAATAGCAGTTGGAAGGAAAGATGGACCTATCATGATTGGCCAGATGTACCCTGACCTCACCGTGGTGGACCAATAGCAGTTGGAGGGGAAGATGGACCTATCATGATTGGCCAGAGGTACCCTGACCTCACCGTGGTGGACCAATAGCAGTTGGAAGGGAGGATGAAGCTATGCTAATTAGCTAGAGGCATCTTGACCTCACCAGAGCGGACCAATAGCAGTTTTTAGGGAAGATGGAGCTATGTTGATTGGCCAGAGGCACTCTGACTTTTCTGTGGTGGACCAATAGCAGTTGGAGGGGAAGATAGAGCCATACTGACTGCCCAGAGGAATCAAAGAGCGGTGGTCTGATCCATGCTGTGACACCAAGCTATTGTGTATGAGCTCTGGTACACTGACTGGGGCTTGATGAGTAATCCCTACCCTATGACCACAGCTACTGAGTATGAAAAGATGATTAAAGAACTATGAGGTTAGTGATTTTCACTTATCCTTTATAGTTAGAGCTGACATGTGACATTGAAACTGTCATTTTTGATTGGGAAGTGAGCGAACACATACCGTCCTCGCTCACTTCCCGATCTTCTCCCAGCAGAGAGCAGTAGCTATCAGTCACCGCTCCCCGCAGGGATTCCCCCCTCCCCTCGGCGCTGACTGAAGGAACGGACGGGAGAGGGGGCGGGCACAGCTGGCTCTGCCTCTAGATAGTAGGGGCCAGGTGTCAATCAGACAGCTGGGTGGATCTCCACAGTATTGTCGGGATCTGTCCCGGCTGCGGCACTCTCAGTATATAGCGAGCTATAGCCCGTTATATACTGAGCTTTGGGTCACGGGAGTACGTTAGTATATCTCCTCCCTTGACCCTAAAGAGAACTATGGGAAAAAATGTTACCCCACAGTTCTGTTTTAAGGTCTTTTACATGAGCGGCAGGTTCAAACGCTTCTCTACAAAGCAATCTACGATGGATTGCGTTTCAGAGGGCAGCTAAGCGGTGGTTTGCAGGCATTCAGAGGGTTGCCACCTCCTGAATGCCTGTTTTTGTGTTTTCCTCATCCCTAGGGGCATTTGCCCCCATTGACTTCAAAGGGCGAGTTTGACAGGCATTGCCCCCTGTGAACTTCATAAGTCAAGCTAAAATTGCTACACCACAAAGTGTGGACCACGTTGTCATTGTGCAAAAGGGTGGTTCCCTCGACCACCCTTCTGCACAAAAACAATGTGGTCAACACTTGCTGCCTGATTTTTTACCACCTCCCGGCCAGACAGGTGAACTTAGCCTAACTCTTCTGGTTACAGCACAAGGCACTCGCGGGACCCTATGGCGATTATCTGCACAGGAGTCAGACTCTCCAGAGGTGCCGTACCTTGTCGGAGAAGCAGATCGTCACGCAGAAGGCAGATGAAATAGATGAAACCCGGCTGAGCGTAATGAGGACATGGGATCATGGGAACTTCCTGCAATAGGACATAAACATGGCTGGGATCACACAATGAACAACAAAGGATCTCTGCAAATCATAAAATCTGCATTCCCTTACCTGATCGACCGGCCGCGGGTCACACTGCTCACACAGATAATGTTCCACGTCTGACGTCACTCCCATACAGTCACAGTGCTGCCAGACCTGCGAGGGACACAAAACACTAATGTCACCAATAGGGGAGGGACAAAGTGACATGGGAGATCGGGAATACCGGATGAGACTCACAACAATGAGAATTTTTCATTTGTTTTGTCAAACAGAGAGGAGCAAAGACATTGAGACTTCTTCTGATGCAGCAAGAGTGAGGCTTCAAGGCAAGAGTGACAAACCTAGGAGGACCCTATGGAAAGTCATGAGGCTGAGCTCTCTAATAGTCACCTATACCTTAAATATGGGTCCCACCACTCGTCTGAGTATACGGTTATCTATTGGGGAAATGGTTAAACCGCACTCACCATACACTTTTCTTGGAGACGCGATGAGCACACACTCCCCATACACTTTTCTTGGAGACGCGATGAGCACACACTCACCATACACTTTTCTTGGAGACGCGATGAGCACACACTCACCATACACTTTTCTTGGAGACGCGATGAGCACACACTCACCATACACTTTTCTTGGATATGCGATGAGCACACACTCACCATACACTTTTCTATTGGTGCCGTGGGAAAGGCTCAGTCACTATATACTTTTCTATCGGAGACATGGTAAACGTGCACTCACCATACACTTTTCGCACTGAATCATCAGCCCCTCGTCCTTATAGAGGCCGCAGATACAGCGGATGATGTCATCCTCCTTCTCGTTTCCACCATCTTTATCACATGACAAGGTCTCGCTGCTGTCCGCCTCGCTTGCTGTCTCCCCCATGATTTCATCAATTTGTGCAGAGGACTCATGGCGTGCGCTGTAATATGCTTTCCTCATCCGGCACACGTCACGGCCAATGGCCGACTTCCTCCCGTGATATTTCTAGAAGGGAAGCAAAATTATGTTTTTAGGCTCAGTAATTTTTATGGAGAGGGAGGGAATCGCGGGCCGAGCTTACCTCTGCATTGCGGAAAACCTTCAGCATGTCCGTGTCAAAAGCTTCAACCGTTTTATAATGTCCGCTAAGAATCTGCTTCTCAATAGTCAGCAAATCCAGTGGATCCCCCACCTTCTCGTAGTAGTATGGGTTCCTGTGTGGGACAAATATGTCACAAGAGAGGCCAACACTCCTATTTTCAGTGACCCCCAACACCCCCACTTAGTAATGGGATTTATATCAGAGGCTGTCAGACAACTGCTGGCAATGGATAAGAGGAAGCAGTGACGGAGACTGATGAAGCCTTACTTTTTCTTGGGTGGAAGACTAAGCAGGGGGGCCGCCAGGTTTCTGTTCAAGGAATCTGAAAAGGGAAGAATATCAGTGTTACACGCATTCTTAAAGTACAAATGGTTATACATCTAATAGAAGTACTTAAATCAGCCTTGATTTTAGCATTCTTTAATTCAATGCAGGGCAGATCAACAGAGGGAGTGGTAGTGCTCTCGGCCAATTAGGCTCTACTGCTATGCACTTAGTCTAACACTGTGAATTTGCATACAGGAGGGGAGAGCTCAGGGATGGCCTCTTCTATATTTTGCTTGTTCACTGTGCAATCACAGGCTAGGGGTATGATCTGGACTAAGCAATTCCCAGGCTGATGCTTAGTTCTGGACCAAGCAAATCCCAGGCTGGTGGCAGGTTCTGCAACAAGCAATATTGTAGTCAGCAGGACCAGGGCCTGGCTGTGCTGTCTAGCAGGGGTGCCTGGATCCCACTACTGACTGAACAGGTTTAATAACTTTCTGGCAGCTACGACAGTTTACATAGATGTATTTTACTGTCTATTAAGCAGTTTGCTTGGAGTTCTTCCGAAAAGAGGAGAGTAAGTGAAATGTGAGAAACGTGCGTGTGGGTTGACCATGGCTAATACTGATAAGAAAGTCACCTTTATAACAGACAATTCCATCACAGATCTCTTTGAAGATCTGTGCCAGACGGGCAGCACGTGCTACCTCAATGTTCTCCTCGGCGGCAGCCAGCCGGCGGGTACGTACTGACCGAGAGGTCTGTAGAGCAGCAAACTGGGTCATGAAGACATCTGAAAAATAAGTGGGACAAAACAGATGAATAGGAGGCTCGGGAAAAGGGTACATCACTTCCATTTTACATCTCTCCAGACGACCCACCAGCTTTGATGTTTCCATCATCCCTGCACACACCGTTCCAGCGGTTATACAGCGATGCTGCATTCAGGTCATTTTTTACCTCTTCATGTCGCCGGCGGGTTTTTTCCCAGTTTCGTATCAAGAATACTCTGTGCTTCAACACAAAGTTCCTGCAGAACAAAGAGCCTAGGGGTTTATTTCACAAGACGTAACAAGGTATGTATGACAGAGACCAAGATGCGGCACGGACAGCCAGGGAGAGGCAGTCAGGAAAGACACAGCCAGAGACAGGTAAATGGGAAGGGGTATAGCCAGAGAGGAAAGATACAACCAGAGATAGGTTAATGGGAGGGGTATAGCCAGAGACAAGCAGACTGGAAAGGAACAACCAGAGACAGACAGAGAGGAAGGGTACAGCCAGAAACAGGCAGTGCAGCCAAAAAGAGGCAGACAGGAAGGGGACAGCCAGAGACAGACAGATGGGAAGGAAAGAGACAGACATATAGGAAAGGCGCAACCCGAGATGGGTATATGGGAAGGGTACAGTCAGGGACAGGCAGGTAGGAAAGGCACAGCAAGAAACAGGTGAATGGGAAGGGTATAGCCCGAGACAGGGAGATGGGAAAGGCACAACCAGAGACAGGGAGATGGGAAAGGCACAACCAGAGACAGGTAAATGGGAAGGGTACAGCCAGAGACAGGGAGATGGGAAAGGCACAGCAAGATACAGGTAAATGGGAAGGGTACAGCCAGAGACAGGCAGATAGGAAAAGCACCACCAGAGACAGGTAGATGGGAAGGGTACAGCCACAGACAGGAATAGTACAGCCAGAAAGAGGCAGACAGGAAGGGAACAGCCAGAGACAGGCAGATAGGAAGGGTACAGCCAGAGACAGGCAGCGCAGAGACAGATAAGAAGGGTGCAGCCAGAGACAGACAGATAGGAAGGGTACAGCCAGGGACAGGCAGATAGGAAGGGGACAGCCAGGGACAGGCAGATAGGAAGGGTACAGCCAGGGACAGGCAGATAGGAAGGGTACAGCCAGGGACAGGCAGATAGGAAGGGTACAGCCAGAGACAGGGAGCCAGACACTAGCAAGATGCGGGACGTTCATACCTCTCTCTGTTGGACATAGGTTTCATGTGGAGCTGGGAGCTGAGTCTGTTCGATGCCCCGACACTTTCACTGCGATCATCACTGTGGTGACCCCTCTACAAACATAAAACCGGAGTTATTCTCACAAATCATTTTATCACTTTCAGGCTTCTCACCGTCCACATATCGGTTCTGCTAATTATGAGCGATATTCTTGGGGGTGGAGAGCTTATCCAGCATCTGACAGCTCGGAATCGCCAGCCAACCAGCGAAATTCACGCTTTCTCCAGCCGACTTACCCTCCTCTTCAGCCGGTGCTTGGACTTTCTCTTTTCTTTGGAGCGTCCAAGTCTCCGGTGAGAAGGAATCTGGTGGCCGGCTTTGTTTGTCTGCCCGTTCATTCTCTGACTCTTCCCACCGATGATCCCCCGACACCGGTCAAAGCCACACTTACACAATTGCTGACAAGAGAGAGAAATAAAAAAAAAGAATTTCCTTTACACCCAATGAGTCAAAGAGGGTACACGGCTACTACCTCTCTACAGGTACAGAGCCAGAGTACACGATACCGCCTATCTAGGGGTACTGAGCCAGAGTACATAGCTACCACCTATCAAGGGGTACTGAGCCGGAGTACATAGCTACCACCTATCAAGGGGTACTGAGCCGGAGTACATAGCTACCACCTATCAAGGGGTACTGAGCCGGAGTACATAGCTACCACCTATCAAGGGGTACTGAGCCAGAGTACATAGCTACCACCTATCAAGGGGTACTGAGCCAGAGTACATAGCTACCACCTATCAAGGGGTACTGAGCCGGAGTACATAGCTACCACCTATCAAGGGGTACTGAGCCGGAGTACATAGCTACCACCTATCAAGGGGTACTGAGCCGGAGTACATAGCTACCACCTATCAAGGGGTACTGAGCCGGAGTACATAGCTACCACCTATCAAGGGGTACTGAGCCGGAGTACATAGCTACCACCTATCAAGGGGTACTGAGCCGGAGTACATAGCTATCACCTATCAAGGGGTACTGAGCCAGAGTACACAGCTACCACCTATCAAGGGGTACTGAGCCAGAGTACATAGCTACCACCTATCAAGGGGTACTGAGCAAGAGAATGCGGCTACCATCTTTCTGTGGGTACAGAGTGGGAGAACATTACTATTGACTATCTGTGGGTTCAGAGTACATGGCTACCACGTATCCGGGATTAATAGCCAGAGTACACGGTTATCGCCTATCTGTGTGTGGAGGGGGAAGACATAAGCACCACAGATTTGCGGCTGCAGAAAGTGAGTACATGGCTAACACCTATCTAGGGGTACAGAAGAAGGCCATGAGTAACACCTATCAGGGGATACAGAAATACATGGCTACTGCCTAGCAGGGGATTCAAATAGAAGTACAAAGCCCCACCTATCTTGTGGCAGAGAGAGGGAGAACATGGCTACCATCTGCCTAGGGGTGCAGAGCCAGAGTACACAGCTACTGCCTATTTAGGGATACAAATGGAAGTACATGGCTACTGCCTGCTCATGCTTCCGCCTATGAGGCTACCACCTATCTAAATATACAGAAAGGGAGTAGATTGCTACCGCTTATTCAGGAATATGGCTACCGCCTATGCAGGGGTACAGGGAGGGAGGACACGACTACCACCCATAAAGTGCCTGTACAAGGTTACCAAGTCATAGAATACATAATGACCTAAGTTCACACAGCATCACTCACCTGCCTCTCAGTATTAAACGCATGGAAGTTGTAGTCGTAAGTCAGTTCGGTACCTGCTGGCATGTCCTTTAAAGCGTACAGCCCAATGCGGTATACTCCATTCACAGCCCTGGTGACAAGAGAGTGATATCAGCACATGACACAGACCTGGCTGCAGGGGGCACTGTAAGCCCATCGTGTCTACATTGTACGGACGGCTCACCATTTCTGCATCTCGCAGTTCGGGTCACAGCTATGGTTGATGAATCTGGACTCGTTGCCCATACGGTAGCTGTCAATCACCATGCCGGAGTCCAAGCTAAGGCAATAGTGGTCATTGTGGTTGTGGTACTGTTCAATCATCCGATTTCTGCACACAAAGAAACAAATGCTGTTTCACTGCCTCGTTGGAGACCCGTCATACAACAATACCATGGGTGCAGCTACTTCTGACAGATGATCTAAATCATCAACCTACGACCTAACTATACCTGCAAGGAACCTAAACAGGAAGCTGGCTGCACCACTGCAATGGAATTCTCCACCCTTGCTATGAATCGTTGCTTCTGCTTGAACCCGCCCCCGCCGGCTCCATATCCCTACCCCTCCCCATGACCCTTCCCTTCCATACATAAGGGTCTTCTGTGGACCAGTGCAGCCAGCCAATCACATTGTGTCCCTGACAGGCAAGACATCTAAATTACCTGAACTCTTGCTCGCTAACCACTTCCCCAAGATACTCGATGATGAACTGCGAAGACCTCAGTGGCTCCTTCGTGCGGATTCCCCATCCCTTCCCCTCAGCCCGGAATCGCTCCAGGCACTGGACCCACTCGTGTCTCTGGATTCGCTGGTTGCTGCAATGCTCTCCACAAGGACATGTGTTCGGGGAACACTCTGCAAATATCATCCTGCAAAGGAAGAATAGCCATCAGCCTGGGGGAACCTAGAGTCACCGTCTTCTATGTATGACCACACGGCATGCTCACCGGTTCAGGCAGTCCTCAGCGCAGCCCCAGTCATCATGATTATTGGGCTTCCTGCAGTTACAGGTGGTGGCCTCGTATCCAGACAGCGGCTTCACATCCACATACACATCTGAGGAAACAATACAATAATTACACAGAGCTTGCAAAAACAGCACAGACCAAAGCCAAACTGAATCCAACAGTACGGACACTCCTGGAGTCCCACTAACAGGTCGGACCGAAGCCAAAGCGGGGGTGAGAGGATGGTACAGACACTCATGGGGTCCCACTAACAGGTCGGGCCAAAGCCAAAGCGGAGGTGAGAGGATGGTACAGACACTCATGGGGTCCCACTAACAGGTCGGGCCAAAGCCAGTGCAGGGGTGAGAGGATGGTACAGACACTCCAGGGGTCCCACTAAGAAGTCAGACCATAGGTCAGAGAAGGGGGGAGAGATGATGGTACGGACATTCCAGGGGTCCCACTAACAGGTCAGACCAAAGCCAGAGAGGGGAGTGAGATCATGGTACGGACACTCCAGGGGTCCCACTAACAGGTCAGACCAAAGCCAGAGAGGGGGGAGAGATGATGGTATGGACACTCCAGGGGTCCCACTAACAGGTCAGACCAAAGCCAGAGAGGGGGTTAGAGAATGGTACGGACAATCCTGGGGTCCCACTAACAGGTCGGACCAAAGCCAGGGAGGGGGGAGAAATGATGGTACAGACATGTCAGGGGCCCACTAACAGGTCAGACCAAAGCCAGAGAGGGGGGAGAAATGATGGTACGGACACTCCAGTGGTCCCACTAACAGGTCAGACCAAAGCCAGAGAGGGGGGAGAAATGATGGTACGGACACTCCAGTGGTCCCACTTTGCCTTTCTTTGGGTCACTTACTGGATCGGATCTTCTTGTACAGGGGGACATCCGGCTTCTTATACAACTGAAAGACAAAACAGAACAGCAGCCTCTGTCAGTTCATTCCGGCCTTCATCAATGAAGAGAACCTGTCACCTTTCACAATGAATGAATACAGGGCTTGGGTGACTAAGCACAGGGCAGGCGCTTACCTGGTTGTGTTTCCACTGCCACAAGATGTCATATGGTAGCTGGAAGTCGCTCCTCTTATGTCGGAGATATTTCCCTGCAAGAGACATACAGACACATGTGATTTCCTGTCCTCACACTGGTCCATGGTTCATACCCCAGCCAGGACACTATCTGCATGGAGTTTGTTCTCCCTGTGAATACTTGCGTTTCTCTTTGATACTCTGCTTCCTTCTACACTCCAAAACTGGTTTACTTGACTCCTGTCTGAATTGGCCCCAGTATGCGTGCATGTGGGAGGGGCAGAAACACAAACTACTGGGTGAAATCTCACCATTGTGGGAGGGGCAGATACACAAACTACTGGGGGGAATCTCACCATTGTGGGAGGGGCAGAGACACAAACTACTGGGGGGAAAGCTCACCTTTGTGGGACGGGCAGAGACACAAACTACTGGGGGGAAAATCTCACCATGTTTCCACTGCCACAAGATGTCATATGGTAGCTGGAAGTCGCTCCTCTTATGTCGGAGATATTTCCCTGCAAGAGACATACAGACACATGTGATTTCCTGTCCTCACACTGGTCCATGGTTCATACCCCAGCCAGGACACTATCTGCATGGAGTTTGTTCTCCCTGTGAATACTTGCGTTTCTCTTTGATACTCTGCTTCCTTCTACACTCCAAAACTGGTTTACTTGACTCCTGTCTGAATTGGCCCCAGTATGCGTGCATGTGGGAGGGGCAGAAACACAAACTACTGGGTGAAATCTCACCATTGTGGGAGGGGCAGATACACAAACTACTGGGGGGAATCTCACCATTGTGGGAGGGGCAGAGACACAAACTACTGGGGGGAAAGCTCACCTTTGTGGGACGGGCAGAGACACAAACTACTGGGGGGAAAATCTCACCATTGTGGGAGGGGCAGAGACACAAACTATTGGGGGGAATCTCCCTATTGTGGGAGGGGCCGAGACACCAACTACTGGGGGGAAAATCTCACCATTGTGGGAGGGGCAGAGACACAAACTATTGGGGGGAATCTCACCATTGTTGGAGGGGGGCATTTCTCAATCTAATTAGGATAACGAATATGTGAAGGGGGGCTAGTTGTCGGTAACATTGACACTTTCCATGAGGCTCTGTGCGACCCAACCTCCTAAACAGAAGGAGCGCAGGATACAAAGGGACCAGTTATGTCAGCCTGGGGAGAAGCACAATCGGAACAGGACAGAGCTCGCAGGAAAATATTTTTCTAATAAGAAACTCCTACTTTGTCCTTATGTAAGAAGTCTGAACTGCTGGCAGGTTCCAGGAAGCGGCTGGATGTGCTGGGAATTGGCTTTTTCTGGGATGACCTCACTGGAGGAAACAAAAGCTTCTTTCAGCAGCCGTGGCTGGCAGCCAGAGGTACACAGAACTTTCTCTCTCTGGCGGAGTAGACGTCAGGAAAGTTATCCGGCCCAGAATAGAAAAGTGAAATGCTACACTCCGGCCGGGCACTGCGCCGCGCTCTCATTAAGAGGCTCTGTGTGTATTGTGTGTAGTACGGCTTCACCTCCCCGCCCCGGGTGTCGTGTAAACAAGAGCCTGAGTACACTACTCTGTATAACCATTAACACGTCCTCCTCCCGGACCCCATCATGATGGACAGATGCGCTCAGACCGCTACTTCTCCATGTTGGTTGGGTGCTAGTTGTTCCCTTCCACTGGCTGCCATCTTGTAGGAGCTGTTCGGTATCAGGGGATTTATCTTGAATAAAACCCTTTATGTTTTCATGACAGAACTTATATTAGACCAAGTGATGCCATCACTGGGTCCCTTCGCCCCTCTGTGCAATGCAGGCCGGTGGCAGGGGCCGGCAGGGTGCTGTACATAGCTTCTCGAGAACAGCACAGCATCATGCCTCACTACTCTCTCAAAAGCAGTGGGCTGGCTCATGGGAGGGGTTATGCAAATATCAAAATGCCTTGCTGGGTAGATGTCAGCCTGGACGAGTGGGCATTCCTAAGGCTGGCTGTATTTGTATGTAGAGCGCCCTAAGTAAAGCTCACGTGAGGCAGAACCTCCATGATCGAAAGGAATGAAATCAAATGAATGAAAGGGGCGGGCAAGGGATAGTCAGACTGGGAAGGAAAGTTATAGATGATGCTGGAGGTGCTCCAGCCAGGAAATGAGGCGGGCTCTATCTGACTTGCTGTAGCTTCTAATGCACATTGTGAGAAGCTGACAGTGTGCAGTGAAATAAGAGGAAGCCATGTCAGTCCAGGAGAGGAGCCGGTACCACTGTGCAAGACTGAAGAGGAGGCCGGAGGTTAGATTTAAGACTGAAGGGAAGGCCGGAGGTCAGGTATAAGAGTGAATGGAAGTCCGGAGGTCAGAAATGAGACTCAAGCGAAGGCCAGATATAACACTGAAGGGACGGCTGGAGGTCATATTTAAGGATGACCTCCTGCGAGCACTATCTGCATGCAATTTGTCACATAACATTCTAGATTTCAGGCACCTATGGAGGAATTCAACAGAAGTGTGTGGCCTGCAACAGACTATAATACACCTTCCTCAAGCATTTGGTTAGCTGTGCCACCAATCAGTGTGCCCGCGTGCATGGAAAGGGTGCGGGGTACTAGATTTGGACAAGGAAACAATAACAGTGATGTATTGGAGGATTTCCCATTACCCGGACTTGACCTCTACAGGGGTATGGGCAGAGTATTCAGATGTACTGATATCACGAATCATCAATCTGGGACCAGCGGCAGGAGCTCAGGGGATTGGACTACGCCCTGTTCTCTATGACTGGCACAGGACATACCCAATCACAGAACAGAACTCTGAAGAGGCGGAGTCACTCACCAATATGGATGGGTGCAGGCAGCAGACCATACTCATGCTCTTTTGGGTTATATTCCAATTTTTCCTTCTTCAGCTGTACCAGACGACTCTTCGGGCTGTGACAATAGGAGATGATACGATGTGAGGACAAAACTCAACACAGGCCGTGACAACATCCGCCTAATAAACAGGAACTGCAGACTGAACTTTTATTGTGGAATGGTTAGAGCCTCTACTATAGGGATTGTTACTGCTTTCGCCCCTCTCAAGGGAAATTCCATCACTTCCTGCCCAACAGCGGCCAATCAAGAGAAAAAAGTACACCCCCAATTCTGGGTCAGCACAATGTTTACACCCCCCCAGTCCTGGACAGCACAGTGTACACCCCTGGTTCTAAGTCAGTAGAATGTTTACACCCTCGTGTCCTGGACAGCGCAGTGTACACCCCTGGTTCTAAGTCAGTAGAAAGTTTACACCCCCCAGTCCTGGACAGCGCAGTGTACACCCCAGGTTCTAAGTCAGTAGAATGTTTACACCCCCCAGTCCTGGACAGCACAGTGTACACCCCAGATTCTAAGTCAGTAGAATGTTTACACCCCTCAGTCCTGGACGGCACAGTGTACACCCCCGGCTCTGGGTCAGCAGACCGTTCACACCCTACAGCCGTGAACTGCACAGTGTAAACTCCCAGTTCGGAGTCAGTACAATGTTTACATGTACACCCCCCAAGTCCTGGACAGCACAGTGTACATCCCCTGGTTTTGGGACAGCAAAGGATACATCTCCAGTTCCAGAAGACCACCAGTTTTGGGTTAGCACAATAAGTGGCCCTGGCCCTTTGACAGGACAATTTACACCCATCCCGTCCTGGGACACAACAAAAGGAACACCTCCAGTTCCGGGACAGCAGAGAGTACACTCTCAATTTTAGACAGCTAAGGGTACTCCCCAATCCCATACTTCAGAAGGTACACCCAGAGTTTTGCAACAGCAGCGGGTGCACCCCAGTTCTAGTACAGCACATTGTAAATCCCTGGTTTTGGGACAGCACGGGCTGCAGACACAATTCAAGGATAGTAAAGGGTGCACCCCGAGTCTTGGGACAGAACGGGATACACTTACACTTCCAGGACTGCAGAGGACACACCTCTACTTCTAGGTCAACTGATTTTATACCCTACTTCCAGAATGTACACCTGGTTCCTATCTTACTGTATGGTATCAAGAATATCTAACGCATTTACTCACTCTGTGGTTTTATACACGTCAGAGAAAAGTCCAGCCTTTTGGTATTTCTTTTTGGGAGGACGTGCAGTCTTCTTCTCCCGCTGCATGAGTGGTGCCAGGTGACGGGAAAAAGCATCCACTCTTTCTTCGTGACTCAGGGGGAGGTCACGGCTGGAAGAGTCATCTGCAAAAGCAATCTCGGCCAGACTGAAAGAGAAGAGGAGAAATGACTGTACAGTGGGCACAGCAGGAAGGCAAAGAAGAAGGAAGATTGAGAATGAGAGGACAAGACGCTACACAAATATATACTATATTGCCAAAAGTATTGGGACGCCTGTCTTTACACGCACATGAACTTTAATGGCATCCCAGTTTTAGTCCGTAGGGATCAATATGGAGTTGGCCCTTTGCAGCTATAACGGCTTCAACTCTTCTGGGAAGGCGTCCACAAGGTTTAGGAGTGTGTATGGGAATGTTGGACCATTTGTGAGGTCAGGTACTGATGTTGGGGGAGAAGGTCGGGCTCACAGTCTCCGCTCTAATTCATCCCAAAGGTGTTCTATCTGGTTGAGGTCAGGACTCTGTGCAGGCCAGTCAAGTTCCTCCACCCCAAACTCCCCCATCCATGTCTTTATGGACCTTGCTTTGTGCACTGGTGCGCAGTCATGTTAGAACAGGAAGGGGCCATCCCCAAACTGGTCCCACAAAGTTAGGAGCATGAAATTGTCCAAAATGTCTTGGTGTGCTGATGCCTTAAGAGTTCCCTTCACTGGAACTAAGGGGCCAAGCCCAACCCCTGAAAAACAACCCCCCCCATAATCCCCCCTCCACCAAACTTTACACTTGTACAATGCAGTCATGCAAGTACCGTTCTCCTGGCAACCGCCAAACCCATGCACGTCCATCGGATTGCCAGACAGAGAAGCCTGATTGGTCACTCCAGAGAACACGTCTACACTTCTCTAGAGTCCAGTGGCGGCGTGCTTTACACGCCGGTATCCGACGCTTTGCGTTGCACTTGGTGATGTAAGGCTTGGATGCAGCTGCTCGGCCATGGAAACCCATTCCATGAAGCTCTCTACACACTGTTGTTGTGCCAATCTGAAGGCCACATGGAGTTTGGAGGTCTGTAGCTATTGTCTCTGCAGACAGTTGGTGACTTCTGCGCACTGTGCGCTTCAGCATGCGCTGACCCCGCTCTGTCATTTTACGTGGCCTACCACTTCGTGGCTGAGTTGCTGTTGTTCCCAGTTGCTTCCAATTTGTTATAATACCGCTAACAGGTGACTGCGGAATATTTAGCAGCAAGGAAATGTCACGGAACACCTGAATCCAATGATTTGGAGGGGCATCCCAATACTTTTGGCAATATAGTGTATATCATGCAGAGAAAAAGAACATCAGGACAGAGCACAACGATCACCCATACCTTGTGCTGCTCTCCTGGTCTTCATCCAGTGAGGTCCTCAAACGCTTCCTTAGCTTTTCCACGCCCAAATGCTTCCTCTTCCACCCCTTGCGGTGTTCAGTGGTCAGATTCACCCCCTGCACTACAGCCTCGATGACGTCTGTCACCGTGTCTGATCTGTCATTGATAGTCTCCTGATGGCTGACCAGCGGCATGGCCAAAACCGCGTCTAGAGGATACTTCCTGGGTCTCCCCGGCCTCCTCTTCACAATGTTGTTTCCTGTGCGGGACTGTCTCTGCAGTTTCTTGGCCTTTAGGATTTTATTAACGTGGTCCAGGTTCTTTTTAGAGGACAGAATTGTATCATAGTTGTACATCCTCCGAGCCTGTTTGTGTATGGCCTCAACCACGCTTCTTTTTAGGCTTGGCAGACGACCAGAAGATGAGCTGAGGCCATCGTTAGGAGAGTCCACGGCAGGTGTTGAAACAAGCATATTGTCCGACCTGCTCTGTCCTTTCTCCCTGCTGTGCGCCCTGGCGGGGCTGTTGGTGGAAGGAGTAGAGGAGGTGAGGTTGTCATCCACTGTGCGCTGCAGCAAACAATCCACAGACTCCTCCGCTGTAGAACTGTGCCGCAGGCCTCGCAATGGGACCCCCATGACTGGAAAGAGACAGCAAACGTTAATGAGTTTTACCAATGATCATTTTATTGAGCGTACCCTTTCAGTGAACTTACATGCAGCTGTAAAGAAGATCTCTCATGTTACTTTTATTGCCAAGTCAATATGCTAGGTAACCTCCCGAAATACCCCAACTTCGGGTATCAGGCAAATGCACTCATTCCCTCCTCCATCTTGCAGCATAGGTGGGGTGCCAAATGTTGCACCATAAAAACTCTTCTGTAAAGCTGCAGGCCAAGTGTGCTGGGTTAACCCAGTTTGTACACTTCTGTTCGCTCCCCTAACCTGGTGCAGCCAATAGGAGCAAGTTGAAGTCCCAACTTACAAAGGGCTGAAGACTCATGTGAATGGTGCTTGAATGGTCAATCACCAAGCACTAGCTTGGGATCAAGTGGAACGAGTTCCATACTCCTGATAGCTAGAAGAAACAAACATTTTTCAATGGTTCTAGCAGCCACACTAACTGGAGAGAAGCAAAGGAAGGAGAGTTGCTGGTGGGACCGCCATTAAGGTTATCTTGGTGCTTTAAGACACCTATTGCCAAGTATGTAACACTGATCAACACCGGCAACTCTAACCTCTATGAAAGGCTTTCTAACCTGGGAAGGCAAATGATCAGGCTGGTTGAAATTGCCTATTTATCATCATACATGGATGGAGCATGGAGACCTAAGATGACAACGTCTGATCATTAGCTAAGTCGTATATGTTTCGGAGATGGAAGATGACACTGTTCCTCATCATTTTATTGTGTGTGTGCCTGATGATGACAGCAGCCAAGTGTCTCTCTACAGCAGTGGTTCTCAACCTATGTAACCTTAGGACCCACATTTGTCCTTGGTCATTAAGTCGTGACCCAAGTCGCACTGCAATGGAACGCACGTTCCGGTGCGGGCGATTAAACAGTGGGTGGGAGGTGCGTTTGGGGTGCCATTAAATTGAAAGGCAATGCAACACCTCCCACACCAGAACGTGTAGTAGGTGCGATTGCGTGGCACGGTGCATTAGTTGCACGGGACTGTACGATTAACGCACTTTACTAGTCTGAACGAGCCCTCAAGAACACTGACACACAACCACAGAAACAATCTCACACACATATACACACTCCAAAAATGTAATTTTTTTTTTTTTAAAGAGCCACTCAGTCTCCCTACCTTACGAGAACTAGAGTGTAGCCTCAGCCTGGGGTCCAGTGTGGGCTGCTGTGCTGTAATGGAGCTCCATCCATATGTGCGTTGCTGGTACAGCTCCCTTGCGCCCCATGTAGAGGTGCCAGGAGCTCGAATGTGACGTCACTCCGGTCCAGGAACCTCTACAGGGCACGTGCGGGAGCTGTAAGCACTGCATGTGTAGATGGAGCTCCCTCACGGCCATAGCCCCATCCCATCCACCTCAAGCTGACACTTGACACTGGGCAGCATATTTTGAATGGCTGCTTGGCGTGAGAACTGACAGTGCGAGGGGGGGAGGCTGAGAAGCCTCTCACCTAGAAAAGTGGAAGGCACGTGGCGACCCACTGAACATGGGGTCGCGACCAACTTTGGGTCACGACCCACCAGTTGAGAACTAAGGGTCTACAACATAAATTATTTACAAACTGAAAATACCACTACTGTCAGCACTGTGGTCAGCAGGTAGCTGCAAGACGGACAATGAGGGCAGAGAGCAAAGATCCAGGAAGACATCCATACATGAATGTATGACGTCATTACGGTCAACTTTTGAGCTGCTTCACACAGGACGGCCAGAAAGATGGCTTTTCTAGTCACAAGCAGACAGTATCATGTGCAGGAACAGAGCATCGTGTATATAAGATGTATGAAATGTCCTGACACCCACAGAATTGGACTTCTATTCCATATTCAATCCAATCATCTCCGTTAACAATGTCAAATCTGAAGGACATATGCCAAGTGGGAATTTGTGTACAGTGCTCCCCCATACTAACTGCCCCCCTTATATAAAAGGCAGGTAGAAAAAAAATAAGCTTATGATGAAAAGATAAAAGAGCCGGAAAGCCCGGGGTCTGTTCTTGGCCTCAACCTACACATGGCATATAGGAGTTCTCCTTCTTTACCTGAACATGAAGTGCTCTCAGATGCCGTCCTTCTTCTAGAGGGACTATAGCTGGAGCTATCTGGTGTCCTCAGACTACGCTCCTGGGAAGCTAGAAGGTAAAGAAGGACACGGTCAATTCAGTTCCACAGTGCAGAACAATCACTGCAGACAAATCCACCATTTGCCCTGAATTAAAGAGAGAAGAGGTCAGGCTCTAATGTCAAGATCTCTGCAGCCATGTTCCTAGCTCTGCTCACCACCCAACCGTAATGGTCATAATGGCTGTAGAAGCTGGGAGGAATTCCAGGTATAGAGACTCCCAGGTCTGCACACTGGGGCCGCTAGGCAGTGGCATGCAAAACATATCATACAGCAGCCAGGCAGAGACAGACAGTAAACAGAAATCCCACTTTGTGGAGACTCTGTTCATTGGTTATAAGAAATGTATAATAGTTCCAGCAGGCCTGGCTGAAGGTCATTACTATGTGATGTGCGGCATGACAGAGATATCTTTAGGTCCTTCTATTTATAATTTGACCGCTCTCATCTCTGCAATGTCACTGCTTCCTCAACGACTGGAGACGCATGCTGCAATTACATTAGGAGAATACAGACCGCCATCCCTCATCATCTGCAAGGACAGTGCAGGCACTAATGAGCCCGCTGCGCTGTGTGTTTGTGTGAGCTGCTTCATCTTCACTCCGAGCCAAGAGGCGGCTTAGACAGCAGACACTTCACAAACCGCACAGAAGAGCGCTAAGTTATATTCCGGAACACCCCAACTGGCTGCCTCTAACACAAGCACCTTTACTGTTTGTTCACTACAGATCAATTATGACATCACTAAGAATTTTGTCAGTCTATCCATTCACCAGAGACAGCCCTGCAAATGCAGCCCATCCATTCACAAAATACAGCACTGAGAATGCAGCACATTCATTCAATAAACACACCACTGGCAATGCTTTCTGTCCATTCATTAAAGACTGCACTGAGAATGCTTTCTGTCCGTTCATTAGAGACAACACTGCAAATGTAGCCTATCCATTCAATTGGGAAAATAATGAGAATGCAGCCAGTCCATTCACCACAGACATCGCTGAGTATAGTACCCTATCTATTCTACATAGGCAGCACTAAGAGTGTAGCATATCCATTCACCAAAGACAGCACTGAGAATGCTGTCTATCGATTCACTAGAGACAGCAGAGAATGCAGCCTGTCCATTCACCAGAGACAGCAGGGAATGCAGTCCCATTCACCAGAGACAGCAGGGAATGCAGCCCCCATTCACTAGAGAAAGCAAGGAATGCAGTCCCATTCACCAGAGACAGCAGATAATACAGCCCCCATTCACCAGACAGCAGATAATACAGCCCCCATTCACCAGAGACAGCAGATAATACAGCCCCCATTCATCAGAGACAGCAGGGAATGCAGCCCCCATTCACCAGAGACAGCAGAGAATGCAGCCTATCCATTCACCAGAGACAGCAGAGAATGCAGCCCCCATTCACCAGAGACAGCAGAGAATGCAGCCCCCATTCACCAGAGACAGCAGAGAATGCAGCCCCCATTCACCAGAGACAGCAGAGAATGCAGCCTATCCATTCTCCAGAGACAGCAGAGAATACAGTCCCCATTCACCAGAGACAGCAGAGAATGCAGCCTATCCATTCACCAGAGACAGCAGAGAATGCAGCCCCCATTCACCAGAGACAGCAGAGAATGCAGCCCCCATTCTCCAGAGACAGCAGAGAATGCAGCCCCCATTCACCAGAGACAGCAGAGAATGCAGCCTATCCATTCACCAGAGACAGCAGAGAATGCAGCCCCCATTCACCAGAGACAGCAGAGAATGCAGCATCCATTCACCAGAGACAGCAGAGAATGCAGCCCCCATTCACCAGAGACAGCAGAGAATGCAGCCCCCATTCACCAGAGACAGCAGAGAATGCAGCCCCCATTCACCAGAGACAGCAGAGAATGCAGCCTATCCATTCACCAGAGACAGCAGAGAATGCAGCCCCCATTCACCAGAGACAGCAGAGAATGCAGCCCCCATTCACCAGAGACAGCAGAGAATGCAGCCCCCATTCACCAGAGACAGCAGAGAATGCAGCCCCCATTCACCAGAGACAGCAGAGAATGCAGCCCCCATTCACCAGAGACAGCAGAGAATGCAGCCCCCATTCACCAGAGACAGCAGAGAATGCAGCCTATCCATTCACCAGAGACAGCAGAGAATGCAGCCCCCATTCACCAGAGACAGCAGAGAATGCAGCCCCCATTCACCAGAGACAGCAGAGAATGCAGCCCCCATTCACCAGAGACAGCAGAGAATGCAGCCCCCATTCACCAGAGACAGCAGAGAATGCAGCCCCCATTCACCAGAGACAGCAGAGAATGCAGCCTATCCATTCACCAGAGACAGCAGAGAATGCAGCCCCCATTCACCAGAGACAGCAGAGAATGCAGCCCCCATTCACCAGAGACAGCAGAGAATGCAGCCCCCATTCACCAGAGACAGCAGAGAATGCAGCCCCCATTCACCAGAGACAGCAGAGAATGCAGCCTATCCATTCTCCAGAGACAGCAGAGAATACAGCCCCCATTCACCAGAGGCAGCAGGGAATGCAGCCCCCATTCACCAGAGGCAGCACTGAGAATGCAGTCTATCCATTCACTAGAGACAGCAGAGAATGCAGCCTATCCATTCACCAGAGACAGCACTGAGAATGCAGCCCCCATTCACTAGAGACAGCAGAGAAAGCAGCCTATCCATTCACCAGAGACAGCACTGAGAATGCAGCCTATCCATTCACCAGAGACAGCACTGAGAATGCAGTCTACCCATTCACTAGAGACAGCAGATAATGCAGCCTATCCATTCACCAGAGACAACACTGAGAATGCAGTCTACCCATTCACCAGAGACAGCAGAGAATGCAGCCTATCCATTCACCAGAGACAGCACTGAGGATGCAGCATATCCATTCACCAGAGACAGCACTGAGAATGCAGCATATCCATTCACTAGAGACAGCAGAAAATGCAGCCTATCCATTCACCAGAGACAGCACTGAGAATGCAGCCCCCATTCACTAGAGACAGCAGAAAATGCTGCCTATCCATTCACCAGAGACAGCACTGAGAATGCAGCCCCCATTCACTAGAGACAGCAGAAAATGCTGCCTATCCATTCACCAGAGACAGCACTGAGAATGCAGCCCCCATTCACCAGAGACAGCAGAGAATGCAGCCTATCCATTCACCAGAGACAGCACTGAGAATGCAGCCTATCCATTCACCAGAGACAGCACTGAGAATGCAGCCTATCCATTCACCAGAGACAGCAGAGAATGCTGCCTATCCATTCATCAGAGACAGCACTGAGAATGCAGCCTATCCATTCACCAGAGAATGCAGCCTATCCATTCACCAGAGACAGCCCTGAGAATGCAGCGTATTCATTCACCGGAGACAGCAGAGAATGCTGCCTATCCATTCACCAGAAACAGCAGAGAATGCTGCCTATCCATTCACCAGAGACTGCAGAGAATGCAGCCTACCCATTCACCAGAGAATTCTGCCTATCCATTCACCAGAGACAGCACTGAGAATGCTGCCTATCCATTCACCAGAGACAACACTGAGAATGCAGCCTATCCATTCACTAGAGACAGCAGAGAATGCAGCCTATCCATTCACCAGAGATAGCACTGAGAATGCAGCCTATCCATTCACCGGAGACAGCAGAGAATTCTGTCTATCCATTCACCAGAGACAGCACTGAGAACGCACTCTTAGTTCGCTAGATAACTGTGACATCGCTATTATTTAGAACACAAGCTATTTATTCAGGACAAATTCAACACACACAAAGTCTGAAGCTCCTTAAAAGTCTTACCTGATGATGACTGAGCAGCCTCCTTCCTCACTGATCTGCTATCTGTAAAAAAGGCTGGGCCATCGCTTAGCGTTTTGCACCCGACGTTGGCAGACATGCTGCCTCGACAGTTGCCTATTGCACTTGTAAAAAGGTTGGTGTGTTCATCGCTGCTAGCTGGCTCAGAGCTGGAAGTGAAGCCACTGAGCGAGAGACTCGGTGAGCTGTTTGAACAGTCAATCTGCAATGGAGTCTGAAGTCCCAAAGTCAGCGAGCCCGACTCGGGGGCCTCTCTCCGGACCCACTGCTCCTCTCTACTCAGCAGTCCCTTGGAAGGAGTCAGGTGACTGCAAGGTAAGTGACACCTGTGTTTGTCTTTGTGTTTGTACCTGTCACTAATATTGTCTTTCCCAAACCTGTAACGTTTTAAAGACTCCAGGACTGACCTTGAAGATCCGACCCCAGCCAAGGAATCCATTGAAAGCTGTTGCTGGTCTGATCGGTGTTCGCGGTGCTTGTGGCGGTGGCGGTGTTTGTGCTCAACCATCCAGCCATAAGCCATGTCTGGTGGGACGCTGGGGTATGTGCCCACAGGAAGGAGAGGGGTGCGGCTGGTGGTCAAGAATGCCTCTTGTCGAAGGAGCTTGTGTTTTTTCTTATGAAATTTGGCAGGGTTAAGCAATAAATGGCCAGTATGCATGTACGAAGGTGGGTGCATTGGGGTGGTGAAGGAAGGAGAGGGTGGAGGAGGGTACAGAGTAGGGGGGTATCGTCCATAATAACTTAAGCCAATGGGGGCGGCAGTAATGGGGGAGGGTGAGTAAGGCATGCTGTATGAAGGGTAGAAGCCAGTGCTAGAGAGGGGAAAACCAAGACTGTGCACAAATGGCACCTCCGACATAGATTCCCGCATCTTGGGCGGCCGCCCTCTCTTCTTTTTCAAATCCGGTTTCCGGATGTAGTGCAAAGGATCCAAAGGAAATGTCGGGTGACTATAAAAGCTGTTAAAGTTGAGGCGAAATATAGTAGGAAGCAGATCTCTTGGGATGAAATGGTGACTCCTATGAGAAATGTGGATTTCGCTCAAGCGCGTGATCAGCTCCTCCAACTCGGCCAGGAAGTCCGGATCCTGCCGAGCGCGCAGCTGCGGGTACTTCTTTTTACGCTTCCGCTTTTGCCTTTTGAGTTTGTCGTAACTGAGATACTCGTGACTCCTGTGCTTACATTTGTGCTTGTGTTTCTCTTTGAGGCTGCTGAGAACCGGCAAGGTCTGAGGAGCTAAAAGAGAAATGTGTTCGAAAGAATGTCGTCTCTTCTTCTGCGCACAAAACTTCTCGGCCCGGTCTGACGTGCTATTGTTGTCTGTCCCGATGCCGCTGTCGCTGGGGATGGTTTCATCGCTGTGAGACTCGCTGATGGGAGAAGAAGTTGCTTCTTTTAAGGAAGGGATTTCATTTAAGTGGGAGGGAGAGTTTGGCAGCAGATTTGGGGGTGACAGTTGCCTACAGTCCTTGGAGGCTTTCCTCATGGCAAGTGTCTGTAGAAAGGTACCTTGTCTGGAGTGCGTGTGGGAATATGGCACAGGGTTTGGCTCTACAAAACTGGCGTCGCTGCTCATGGGACTCTGGGCACCGCTGGCTCCCGGCGAGAGGGAACAAGCTGGTGAAGGAAGAACCTCAGAGCCAGATAGGTTCTGAGATATGATGGGTGCCACAGCTTGACCTAAAGTGTGAGCATCTTGCTGACCACTTTTTTCTAATGCTGGAGAGCTGACTGAATTTTTGGTCATGACACTTTCGGACGTTGACTTCGGTTTCCTGCCTCTTCTCTTGCCCATGTAGATGGTCCCTTTCTTGCTGACATTTATCTGCTGACCTAATTTCGAAGTAAACGTGGCGGCAAGTGTTGAAACCGTACCTTGCAGCTTTGTTTGAGCCTTCCCTCTGGAGTTTTGTTCGGCTGCACCGGAAAGAATCTGACTCAGCAGCTTCTTCCGCTTAATAGTTTTCATCTTATTTATCTTTCGAATAATATTCTTCACTAGCTGCCCGTTACTTTTCTTTACAAACTTCCTATCCGGATCTGAGCAATTGCTGCCTGCGTCGTCTGGGTGGAGCCTGCTGTTGAAATGCTCATCGTTTTGGTGCTTCTCGTTTTCGCACTCGGTTTGCTTGTGATTATCGGTCACAAGGAAAGGCGCGACAGAAAGGACGGGTGGTGTTCGCATCGGTGCAGCCGCATCCCTTCTCGGTCGGCCTCTCTTCCTCGGGAACACCGGTCTGGGAAGATTTGTTTTCAGAGGTGGCATCTCGACCTCTGGCTGGAGAACAGGAGGCCCCTGATCTTCTTTGGATTGTGATGAGGCTACTTTAAAAGCTGGGATTTTAAGTGCTCTTTTTGGGGGACCTTCCAGATGTGGCATAGCCTTACTTTTGGGCTTTCCTCTCTTAGGTTTGTAAGCATCGGAACCGTCTGCGGACATACAAACCATTCTATAATTACTATGGGAACTATACAGCTTAGGAGTCGGCTTGTGCATTCCATTGGCGGCTCCCTCACTGGAAATGCTTGCTTTGGACAATGAGGACTTGGAAACTTGACCGAGAAGTGACATTTTCCCCACAATTTTCTCCGGTGTGCCCCGCTGGGACTTATCGTTCCCCATCGATACTGGTCTTACCACATCATGCTCAGGTGATACTTTTGAGGGCTGAGTGGTTTTGTTAGACACTTTAGTCCACCGAGGCTTCTTACCCTTCCTTTTCTTAAAGTGTTTTATCTGTGAGTTGGTGCTGCCATGTTGGCTGCTGTAAGGCGGCTTTTCCGAGAGGCTGCCAACCTTCACTAACTGTTTTTTCCTAAGTAAACTTGCAAAACTGACAACAGACGGGTCTGACCGGTGGCTGCCTGGCTCCACTCTCTGTGTGGGCTTTCTGTCTGGTACAGCGGGAATATAAGTCCTTAAATTCTCACTGGGGACACTTTTGACCTCTTTACTCGTTTTTTCATTCTGCAAGAAGTCCAGAGAGCTTTGAGGGGTTTTACGAGCCCTGTTAGCGGGTAAAGTGTCGGATGTAAACTTGCTTTTGTCGCTTGGCTCATCAATACATTCCACACGCGTCGTGTCAGGGTTTAAGTGCAATGAACTTGAGGGGGATTGGGGACAATTCACATTTGAACTCCTACTGGATGATGTCAGAGACGTCGCTGGTGCTGGCGAAGGGAGATTTCCTTCCCCGACAGCACTGAAAGGCGACACGGCTGCTGATGCATCAGACGCACCCCCCTTCCGATGGTCCAATGAAGTGCAATACACAGGGCAAAGCTTTTCTTGCATGTCCGTATCGGGGACACCTTTCTCAGAGAGGGAACTTTTTACCACTGGGACAGAAGTCCTGTCATTAAATTTATCTTTCTCGCCAGCGGATCCCTCTTTCCTGATACAGAACTTTTCTAAGATGCTGTCCTTGGCCTGCCGTCCGTCAACCCTTTCCGAAGCTTGACTGTTCATTCTTTCATCGGAGCCCCTGGATTTGGAAGGAGAGCATAAACGCCCTGTCGCAGGAGAGTCATCATTCGGCGTTGCCCGTTCTTCCAAGGGCAAGCTGACTGGGGCTGACGATACCTGCTTTTTGGCTCTGATTTTGGAAGACTTGGAAGGAGGGCATGTTGCAATGAGCTGAGCGAGTTTTTCAGTAACACGGGCAGCTGTGCCATTCACCGGTACCCTGTCCTTTGAGTCAGGGTCTTTGTTACCGACAAGTCTAGGTGGCGATGCCTTGTTGAGCTCAGTCGCTTCTGAGTGCAAAGGTGAAGAATTCTTTGTTGTGGGGACCTTCTCCTCCTTGGTGCGAGCATGTAAACATTCTACCTTCAGGCCGTCATGGCTTGGGTTGTCTGCAGACTTCTTCGACAATCTGGAAGAGTCCTGGAAGAGAAAACATAGAAAGCGATTTAGAAGAGTGCATGAACATTATCCTCATACTGACAATAAACCAATTTACAGGCCCGAAGCATAGCAATGGGCCTGGTTGATACTCGCTGGCAAATTATAAACACAGAAAAAACTAAATCTAGATCTGAAGATTAAATCTGGGTGACCTTGCTTGATTTAGCAAAGAAACGGCGTAAAAATACTGCCTACTGCTACTCCCGTACAAAGGATTGTTGAAATAATCATAAGGTGAAGAACGGGAGCGAGGAGCAAATCGCTCTTGCTGGAATGAGAATCCTATCCACCCATATTTGGCAGCCAGCTTGGATTTGGCTGTACGTGACCGAGTTTGCCTAATCAATGCCAGTTATTTATGTAAATAGACGTGGCACCTTGTTTTATTTTGCAGGCAGGCAGATCGTGGCTGCGGCGTTCCACTGCTTGTTTTGTGTACGCTAAGAACAAGAGGGGGGGAGGAAAAAAAACCCTACGGAGGAATTCAAAGCTTGAGCAGAATTTGCATAATAGCTACCGCTGCCATGGAAAAACTGGGCAGCGTGCCAAGCGTTGTGTCCGCGCCACCACTGCACAACACCCCTCTATAAAACCGATCTGCGCCCGCCATGTAATTCAATCATCAACCGCGTTGGCTCTCCTCTCTCTCTGACACGGAGATTCGGATGGCCTCAGGGTAAAGATTTCTCTCTCTCAACTGCTGAACGTCTCTTGGTGAAAGATGTGAATGGAAGGGAAGACACGGGGGCTTCTAGAAGACCACAGCTGTAAAACGTGCGGCAACCGGGAAGAGGTGCTTGGGGCTGTACAGTGATTTAATGGACCGACTTCTGCTCGGCGGGAGAAAAAGATCCCTCATCTCCACCCATATGTGACAACAGGGAGAGATGATCGAGCATGTTAAGCTTCTTAACACCGGGTCGCATCATCCCAAATTGCAGGATAGGAGGGGATTTTCTAAAGTTTTCTCCCTGGTAGTGCCCCATGTGAACGGCTTAGAAGAGAGCTCCACCGTAAATGAAACTCTGCAATGCACTATGATGAAGTTATTATCAAATCAAATGCTGTGCCAACTCTTTTTTTTGGCTTTCTGGGTCTGGAAAAGCTGGTAGTATATAACTGAAACAAATACCACAGAGCAACCAATCAGAAATTATTTAATTGCATATGGGAAACCTATTCGGTCACTATGCTATCCTGCACTGTCATGCATCATGGTGTCTCATTGCATTGCTGTATTAAAGAATAGCTATGGTCTAAATCCTTGGTTCTCAACTGGTGGGTCGTGACCCCTTGTTCAGTGGGTCGCCACATGCCTTCCCCTTTTGTAGGTGAGAGACTCCTCTGCCTCCCACTATCACAACACTGTCAGCACTTGCGCCAAGCAGCCATTCAAAATATGCAGCCCGCACCGAGTGTCAGCTTGAGGAGGGGTGGGCTGGGGCTATGGCCCCGAGGGAGCTCCATCCATACATACATTGCTTACAGCTTCCTCACGTGTCCTGTAGAGGTCCCTGGACTGGAGTGACATCACATTCGGGCCCCCAGCACCTCTACAGAGCACGCAAGGGAGCTGTACAAGCAATGCACACATGGATGGAGCTCTGTCACAGCACAGCAGCCCACACTGGACCCAAGGCTGAGGATCCACTCCAGTTCTCGTAAGGTAGGGAGACTAGGTGTGTGAGATTGGGTCTGTGGTTGTGTGTGTATGTCAGTGTTTTTGAGGGCCCGTTCACACTAGTACAGTGCGTTAATCGCATAGTACCATGCGATTAACGCACATTACTATGCAATCGCACCTACCGTGCATTCTGGTGTGGGAGGTGTGTTGTGCTGCCATTCATTTAAATGGTACCCCAAAAGCACCTCCCACCCACAGTTCGTACACCCGCACCGGAACGTTGCGGTACCCTAATGCCGTGTGTTCCATTGCAGTGCGTCTTGGGTTGTGACTTAATGACCATAGACAAATGTGGGTCCTGAGGTAATACAGGTTGAGAACCACTGGTCTAAACAAAAACTTTCGTATAGTCTAATGCTGGATATGTAATGTATCTTAGGTGGTGAGGCTAGGAGGATCTGCTCATGGAGACATTCAGTAAAAGTTGACCCTTAGTTTGTGTCTGCCCTTGCTACATGTTCCCTGGGAGTCAGTCAAAGGGCGTACTGTGTCAGGGTCCCTCCTTGTCCCCCCCGCATGACTAAACATGGAGCACAAGAAGGAATGGTCCTATTGGTTTATTAAGGGAAAGCGATATAGACCTGCTCCAACCATGACGTGCTGAGAGGGGCCAAGAAGGACCTCGTATTCTTTTTAGTGTTTGTCCGTCAAAGCCCTTGTGACCCCATCAATAGTAAGTCGTTTCCTTTTTATTAATGCCTGAGAAATGTAACCAGATGTGCTAAAAATAGTACAGAATCGGCCCAACAGTACAGACGGTAATAATAATTGAAAATATAAAAGACAAATATGATATCCATCATACAGAGAGCAATTATCAGACACACAGTGCTGACTGAGGGACAGAGGGGGAATAGATGGCACGAGCTGGATATACAATTGCAGAATATACATTACACACTATATACAACAGAGAGGGAGATATGGAAAAGAGACAGTAGAAGAGGAAACGGAGCACAATATGGAACGAATACGTTGGTGCTCTCCTCAACCATTAATGTGATTGGTTGTTTCCTCCTCTAGTAATGGGGGAATCTCATAAACTGCTGCCTGAATCGCCTGAACTAGGTCAGCTGTTACCATAGAAACCACCTAAAGTTGCAATGAGATACAAAGTAATGCTAACATTTCCTCACGGCAACTAAAAATACCAGCGTGTCTGCAGGTCGCCGAGACTGCCAGCTTCTGATTGACAGACAACACTCCCTACCCTATAAATTCCCACCCACACAGGGCCTAAGCCGACAGAGACCCAGAGCCAATCATCAATCCCATTTCACCACATGTGACCCCTTATCTGTACTATCTCTACTCCATATCCTTTTCCAATCCAGTGGTCCACCAGAGACCCATAGCCAGACATCAATCCTATCTCCCCACGTGACCCCTGATCTGTACTTTTTCTACACCATATCCTTCTCCAAGCCTATCTCACTATGCATGACCCACAATCTGTGTTATTTCTGCTCCATATGCTCCTTCAAAATCAGGGCCAAACACAAACTCATAACCAATCATCAATTCTATCTCATCAATTGTGACCCTCAATCTGTTACCTCTACTCCATATCCTCCTTGAACCCCGGGGGGAAAAAGCAGACCTAAACCCATAACCAATCATCAATCCTATCTCACCACATGTGACCACCAATCTCTGTTACTTCTACTTCATAGTCTTCTCCTACACGGGGGCCGATCAGAGACCCATAAACAATCATCAATCCTATCTGACTACATGTGGCCCCTAATCTGTACAATCTCTACCCCATATCCTTCTCCAATCCTTTCTCACTATGCATGACCCACAATCTGTGTTATCCCCACTCCATATGCTCCTTCAAAGCCAGGGATAATCACAAACTCATAACCAATCATCAATTCTATCTCACCAGATATGACCCTCAATCTGTTACCTCTACTCCATATCCTCCTTGAACCCCGGGGTCGAAGCAGACAGAGACCCATTTTCAATCATTAATTGTATCTCAACACCTGTGAGCCCCAATTCTGTACTATCCTCAACTCCATGTTCTCCTCCAACACTGGTCCTGAGCAGAAACCCACCATTGATCCTATCCAACCACACATGACCACTAATTTGTGTTATCTCCACTTCATATCATCCTACAACACCAAGGCTAACCAAAGACCCATAAGTAATCATCAATCCTATCTCACCACATGTCACCCAATCTGTATTATCTCCACTCCATATCCTCCCCCAACACGGGGAGCCAAATCAGAGAGACTCATAACCAATCAATGATCCTATCTTACCACGTGTGACCCCCCAATCTGTTCTATTTCAACTCTATATCCTCCTCCAACAGTGAGGCCCACGAGAGATCCATTACCAATCATCGATCCTATCTCAATACATGTGACCCCCTGATCTGTACTATCTCAACTCCATATCCTCCTCCAATATGGGGACCAGAGCAAAGAGAGACCCATATACAAACGGCAATCCTATCACACCACATGTGACCCCCCAATTTATGCTATCTCCACTCTATATGCATCTTTACCACTAGGGCTGACCAAAGATCCATAACCAATCATCAATCCTTTTTACCATGTGAGCCTCAGTCTATGGTATATCCACTGCATATCCTCCTGGAACAATGGGACCTGATCAGACCCACAGCCAATCATCAATCCTATTTCACCACAATGTGATCCCTAATCAGTACTATCTCTACTCCATATCCTTCTCCAACATGGGGGTCACCAGAGACCCATAACCAATCATCAATCCTATCTCACCACAATGTGACCTCTAATCTGTACTATCTCTACACCATATCCTTCTCCAACATGGGGGCCACAGAGACGAAAAACCAATCATCAATCCGATCTCACCACAATGTGACCCCTAATCTGTACTATCTCCACTCCATATCTTCCACCAGCACCCGGACTGACCAGACAGAGAACTATAACCATCATCATCAATCCTATCTCACTAGGGGTTACCCCTAATCTGTGTTATCTCCCCTCCATACCCTCCCTCAACACGGGGCCAACTAGACAGAGACCTATAACCAATCATCAATTCCATCTCACCATGTGTCCCCCTACTTTTGTTATCTCCACTCCATTTCCCCCTCCAGCACAGAGGCTAGAGCAGAGAGAGACCCAAACCCAATCACCAATGCCATCTCATCATGTGACCCCCAACCTGTTCTATCTCCACTCAATATCCTCCTTCAACACCAGGGTTGACCAGAGATCCAGATAAAAACATCAATCCTATCGCACCAAATGTGACCCCTAATCTGTAGCATTATCTACAT